TGACTCGTGAGATTAGTCATTTTGCAATTTTTATTCGATAAGAGTGGAGATGAAATTGAAAATTTTATTTTTATCCCGTAGTATGATTACATAAATCGTTTGCATCAAATGATACCTGTGCGATGCACATTCGCTTATCGCCGCGTTACTTTCAGTGCCATTGAAATCAATGCCATCATATTTATGCACTGAAAAGATGAACGGTTTCAGAAAATGTACTGAAAGAGGGGATAATTTCAATTGTTCAGATTTTCATATTTTTTTCTTTAATCGTATGCATATTCATAATTTTAAGCTCGATAGATACTCAACATATTCATTAATTACATCGGATGCATCAATGTTTCGTAAGTAAAAGATGATCCCTTTCAGTAAGTTATCCAGGAACTTCTACCAGCAATATTCAACACTGCCACTTTATCACGATATTAACTCACTGACTGATATTAGGTAATTTATTCGTGTTGAAATGCTGCACAGTTATTATTCGAGTTATTATTTCGCACAGTCGTAATGACACTCATTCTAATTCGTGGATTATTAGACAGTTATTATCGAGACAGTTATTCTATTTCGTACATTCGAGTTATGATTTGCCAGAGTCGTGATGCGAGCTTATACCTTATAGTTGTCCNCCTCGGCGTCAACAATTGGAATATCCTCAACTTAACATTTCAGTGCATCACCATGCATTATTCAATATGCACAATTTTCGCATTTCATATCTGCTCAGAAGGCAGCATTAGGTCTACGCTTACCGTGTAAATCAGTGGTTCTCATGCTGTTGCGCTCCATGCTCCATTTCGACGTATGGCCAACTGCAACTCCCCTCCCTCCCCCTTTCCCCTTGTCTGATAATCATTTACTTCCGCGCGACAAATGAGAATAATGAAGAATGTCAGCGGAATTTGCTGGCAAGAATTTATTGCTTGATGAAGAGAATCATTTCCTTGTGTTTAAACAAGCATTTTGAGAGTATCATTGGAGAACTGTGGAAGAATTATGGGAAAAAATCCATCAGCAATGATTGGCCAATTTCTGCAATTCCCCCACACCCTCAAATCCCCACTTCCTTCACGGGAACTTTGACTTCTGTGAGAACCACTGACATAGATAATGAAACCGTATCTTGATCAATGAAGTTATTGCGGAGAAATGAATGTATATTAATGAAGTTTTAATAAAGAAATAAAGTTGAAATGTTGACATGAATCAACAACAGCTGATTGACTGTCGATAAGGTAGAATGCTGCACCCATCATCAACAACGTGACAACAACACTGAGCAGCGATGACAGTAGAACCCTCCTTCGTCCGAGCCGTTCGATAAGACCCATCGGTGCAAATGTACCTATGGCTTGTACAGCTGCAACGAGACAACTTTATCTCATTTCAATACATCGCTTCAAATTTAACTCTAATTTTGTATGGATGATGCACCACGAGGATTCATCGTTAATGAATTTTAATTCCGATTTGTGGTCGTTATTGGTGATTGATTTCGAATACAGATTAAAACTAATTCTGTGTTGTGAAACTCAGTGATATCAGTTTCAAGACCTTATTACTTTTAGGTATGACAAAAACATTTAAAATGAATGATAATATTTGTACTCACACGAAACAGCACAAGATATCCAAATTGTTTTAATTTTGTCCTCAACACCCGATGCCCGAATTATTGTTCCAGTATAATAGCTACAAAAGCAATCATCGAATACGATGCTTTCACTGATCAAGTCATTGCTATTCA